ACCCCAGTGATTAGACATTACATAACCTACTAAGTGATCATCCCAGTAAATCTCACACCTGTCTCTTATACACATCTAGATGTGTATAAGAGACAGGGGCTGGGCTGGGCTGGGCTGGGCTGGGCTGGGCATGGATGCTGACAGAGGACCAGGATGTGAGCTGCAGATCGAGGATGGACCCCACCAGAAAGCGAGGGTTTCCAGCGGGCAGGAGAGTGCAAGGAATGCTGTGTGGGTGGCAAGTAAACCAATTTGAGTCAGTCAAATTCAGCACAGCTTGACTGAACCAAAGGAATGGTGAATAATAAATGAGTAAAGCAAGAGAGAGGGCGTAGGGCTGCGACACCAGGCTCAGAATGTGGAACCTGGTCTGTGAGGAATGGGAGTCATTAAAGGCCACTGGCACCGTCAAGGCTGTATTTTAGGAGGACTGACGTGGCGGTGGCGAGTAAATGAGACAAGGAGGAGCACTGAGAAATGAGAAGTGAGGCTGCTCTCAGCTCTCGGTCTCTGCTCTCTGCTCTCTGCCAATTTGGGGGTAAGGTGATAAAGGCCTTGTTTGGTGGCAGGGAAGGGAGGAGATGGGTGGGAGTCTGACTGATGTGGAAGGTGATAGAAAGGAAGCTGGGTCTACTTAGGAAAGACTGACAGTGACCACCACCTACTGGCTTAGGCAGTTTGGCATAGTTGTCTAGAGCCACCAGCCTGACTTTGAACCCCAGCTCTGCCACTCAGAAGCTGGGAGCCCTTGGGCAAGTGACTTAACCTCTCTCTGCCTCAGTTTACACACCTCCAAAGGGAGGAGAATGGCCATGGTCCTGCCTCATAGGGGCGACAGGTAGATGACCATATAGGTTAAATCAATGAGCCCACGAGCTGAGCCCTGGCCTGTGGAGGGCTCTCGAGAAACAGGGACCGTCATTGAATTGAGAAGGCGCACACTCGCTTCAGTTTCCTTCTGAACGAAATGCTGACAATGGTCATAAAGTGGGACTCGGTGAAGGCAGCAGGTAGCAGGTTCTATTTAGATACAGTCTCTTGCTGGATTTTTGCCTGAAAACATAAAATGCCTTTGACACCACCCAGGACGCTCCTGCCAGGAGAAGCTGGGTCTTCCACGCACAGCTGGTTTTCCTCGGCACTGGCCTCTGTGCACAGGTGTGGGGGTGAGGAGACGGGCCTGGAACGCAGCCTCGGACCCACTAACCCGGCCCTCATTCTGACTGTCAGGGAGGAGTTGTTTCATCCCTGTCTGGTCACTGGGGCTCCAGACCTGGGAGAAGGCTCCCATATGTACCAGGAACTTGGTGGCTTGGCTGTGGTCATTTTCCACCATCCTGCACCACTCCTGCTCTCTTGGCCCACGGGAGTAGCTGTGGAATAAGGACCCCCTTTTGTCTACACTGGGGAAATACCCCCACCCACTGACACAGGAGGTGCCGTTGTTGCACGGGGCACCAACATTACAAGTCCCAGCATTCTCAAGGGAGATGGGCAGTGAAGGCAGCCCCTGGAGGGGACTCTGGAGGGTCCCTTTTGTTGTGGGAGCAGGCGCTGCTCTGATGGGTCACAGCTGCTGACGTCATTTTCCCAGGGGGTGAAGTCCAGGGAGCGGTCCCAGGTCCCTCTCAGCCAGGGCAGAAGGCAAGTGAGTTGACCGCTGTGACACACTGGTCCAGCTGTGACACCTCCGCCCTGGGGAAAAGCAGATTTGAATGAAACTGCTCTGGCCCTCTGAGCTTCAGAGGCAGTATGGCCATTACTGTCCCCTCTTGGCCTTGTCTGGACCCTTTGCAATGGGGACAGTGTACGGAAAAGGGACTCCTTCCTCCCCGTTGCCTCTCATCTCATTCTCCAAAAGGGCAGGACTACTTGTCACCAAGCCAGATTGTCTTGAGAGGTCTCAAAAAAGGTCAACGGAGGGCTCTGTCCCCTTTTCCGAGGAAACGGGAGAGGGTGACAATTATTCCATTGAGTGCTTCGCCTGTGCTCCGCCTGAAGCCTCCGGCAGCCCGGCGAGGGGGGCCTGTGATTATTCCATTCTCCCCGTCGGCACAGCCGCAAGCGCCAGAGCCAGGCTGTAAACTGGGGAGTCTGGCTCCAGCGTGCCCTCCTCTGCGAACTGAGGACGATGGAGCTTCAGCAGCCAGCGACGGTCAGGGATGCACAAAGCCAGCGACAGGAATTATTTTTCTTGGTTCTAGTTTGGTGCTAATAGATGGTTCATTAAATTGCTATTTTTTTAAAGACACCCAGAGCCTGGTACCTCTCCCAATCCAATAGTAGTTGCTATTTAAGTCAACCCCAGAAGCCCATGATTTAGGGTTAGGGTGGGGCCCTAAATCAAAGGTGTTTGGAGCTCCCAAGGGCTCCTCCAAGGGACACACATCCCCACCAGCCACAGTCATGAGGCATCTTTGGCCCATCGTGGGATGTTGGGGGTGGGAAGAAGTTCAAGAGGGATAAGGAGGAAGACTTGGGGTGGAAAGATTCAAGGAAGTCCTGCTCCCCAAGGCGATATGGGAAAGTAGCAGGAATACTCTGTGCGAGGGACTGAATGTTTGTGTTCCCCTACCATTCACATGTTGAAGCCTAAATCCCCAGTGTGTCTGTATTTGGAGACGGGGTCTCTAAAGAAGTAATTCAGGTTAAATGAGGTCATAAAGGTCTGGCCCTGATCTGCTAGGATTAGTGTCCTTAGAAGAAACACAAGAGATGTCCCCTCCTTCTCCCTCCCTACACACACACACACACACACACTCTCCCACACAGGAAAGGCCATGTGAGGACACAGCAAGAAGGCAGCACCTACAAGTCAGGCAGCAGCCCTCACCTGGAACCAAACCCTCCAAAATTGTGAAAAGTAAATGCCTGCCATTTAATGCCTTGGCCTGGCATTTTGTTATAGCAGCCCCAGTGGACTAAGACATCCTGTGTCTCCTGGAGGTTTCCTGGCCCACCCTTCATTCCTACAGGGCCCCCCACACCTGTCCCCCACTCCCACCCCCAAGTCAGCATCTAGCTGTAGAACCTTCTCGAACGCCAGCACCCAGTGTGAGAGGCTGTTGTGTTCTCAGGAGGCCCCATTGGTGGTGGCAGCAGCAAGACCGGGAGAACATTGCTCCAACCATGAGAATTGTCATGTGTTTCTGGGGCTTAAAATAAACCATGAGTAACTTCCCAGATAGTGAATCAACTTTTTACAACCCAGAGGCAACTGGAGATGCTTGAAGCTGGTTGGTCTGCTGAGTATGGCCCTCTTTAGAGGGACAAAACTAGCTTAGGACCTCATCAAAGTGGATAAGAGACATCTTGAGCCAATGAGGCCAACTGTGTAACAACGTGGTGTTCTCAAGCCATAGAGGCTCAAGATAATATTATTCATAAAGATTTCTTCCTTTACTTGCCAATTCAAGGTTGACCCCTCATTTTAATAATACTATTTTCTTATTTCTGCAAATTTCCCTTTGCTGGGCAGAAATTCTTGTTCTTTCACAGATACCATTCAAACAATAAAGTTCATCACATCCGCTGATTGATCTTTTACTTAAACTCCTCCTGGAGAACAGAAAGTCCTCCCAGAGTATGGATATGGGCAGTGTATGGTGGGTGAATTATAAACAGGAAACGCTTTCTGTGGGACTTATTTTTTAATGAGAACACGTTGTTATACTGTGAGCATGTGGCATTCTTGCTGAAGAGAAACATTTACAAGAACACATTTATATCCAAACACCAAATGGAGCGGATACTTTAAATGACCAGTTTGCACCAGAAATAAAATATATTATACAAAACAGGGGTTATATCCACAGTCATTCTCATTTTCTACACAACAATAAATTAAATCACATTATATGCAGATAGTTCTACTTACATTAGAATAATAAACTGTATGTAGTCTGTGCAGCTTTTACTTTTACTTTTCTACCAGACTCGTGGTAGGTTTGTATTGTTTGGTAGTCCTGTATTTAAATTAACAATGAATAATAATGTGGCCCAGGAGACAAGGGCTGCAGAAGTAACCCTCCACAGTGTCTAGACCGTGCCCTGTTGGTGTCACCTACCCACCACGCACAGGGGACAAAGCTCAGATTCCCAGACCCAGCCAAAAGGTCTGCAAACTCACAGCCTCTCCAGGCTGCCTAGGGCACCTCAGGGCTATTTTCTAAGTAAGACACACCACATTGGACACGTTCAGATTTGGTATTGAATAATAAATAGGACATCCCGCTTCAAAATCCAGAATTCCCTTTCTTAACCTTCTCTGCCCAATTATTATGTGCAATGATGGCTTTTTCTCCTCACAAATAAAAAACAATTTGGTAGGCTATGTTCTGACTTACCCATGGGGAATGGGCCCTTTATTCCTTGCTGCATAGAAGTTTAGGTCTTTAAACACATGAATCAGAGCAAGGCAGCATTTTTTGCTAAGTCTTCATTCTGCTTGTTCAAATCTCTCCCCTAGGAATCATCCCCCACCTGATACATCAAAAATCCATAACATACGGATTTTTACTTCTGAGACTCGGCACCCACTGAAATCCTTCCCCCGTGTTTGAAGCAGCTTAAGACACGAACATTAACAGCATTAGCTGGCTTAGAACTGCTTTGCCTTTGGTATGAATTAACATTAGTGGTTAATGAGAAATTTGAACAAACTCCAATCCAGCACCTTTTGAAAGTCATTTTAATCCTAGAGTCTAGCTGTGGGGTATGCCTGCGAGAGAGATGTGGGAGATCGACGTGCTGGAAACCAAAGCCAGGTTTGCTGGAGTCCATGCACATCACAGGCTTGAAGTGCCCCGAGAGCACGTGTGGTCAGGTTAACGTAAGCCAGCTGCGTTCCCACAGCCCGCACCCTGCGGTCCTCTCCCCCGGGGAAGTGTGGAGGCCCCACTGCAAGCTTCTGCCTGCACCTCTGCAGCTATGACCAGTGGCGATTGGGGGTCGGGGAGCAAGGGGGGAAAGACCTGGCTGCTGGCAACTGTACCTTCTTCTGTTCCTTTTGGAGAATCAAGCTCCTGGTTCTTGCTGGGTGTGGCCTAAGCTTCCTGCTGAGTCTGGCTGTTGAAGAGGGACTAAAGTATTGGTTACTCCGTACTTCCAAAGGTCGACTGGGAAAGAAAGACCCCCTGACCCGCACCACCTCCTCCTCTCTTCTGCCACACATGCCATGTTTTAGGCAATTTCACTCATCCACTGAAGAAGGTCAGTCCATTATCAGCCCCCTCATGAAGCGCTGGACCACAGGGCGTAACTAAACCAACCACACAACGCAGATCATGGGGCCTAATGTTGGCAGGTGTTGGGCTTTATGACTGCATCCACTCAGCATCTAAGGTTTTTGTGTCCCAAGAAACGTAATATTCTATTTGGTCTCCCAAAGAGACTTCCACAAATAGCCACTGTAGACTCACTCACGATACCACTGGGACCTACTTTCTGAATTCCTGTCACTGCATGAGATCTACACAGTGGCCTTCATCTCACTGCCAACGGCCTATCTCACACTCCCCAAATCAGCGAGAGCCAGAAGGAAAGTGGTAAATTAGGGGCAAAGAGGGCACAGGTGCCTTGAAGACGCTTATGACCCTAGAAGCCTGTGAGTAGGGAGCAGTGTCTGAAAATAAAGTCTTTGAATTTCAGGAATTTATGTCCATACATTTCTCCCCTCCCTCCACTAACTATTGCTTCTGAAATGTAAAGAAGTGTCTTAAAGCCTGTGGAACCATGTCTGCGGTTCAGGAAAGGACATGCTAATGGTCCTTCCGAGAAATGTAATGTTTACAGGGGCTTCCTTGTGGAACCTGTGGTCAGTCTGGGGGAAGATATGCACTCTACACAGAAAGTGTTTTCTGGACAGAAGTGATCATCTGGAGAAAGCTTTTACTTCTGAGTCCAGGAAAAAAAATGTGAGAAGGTGACCATGATGAGCATAAAACCTACACATATTTCCAAGGCCATGAGTCTATACGAAAAGTATACACTTTGACTGGTATCCGTGTCCGCTGATGTTTGGCCAGCTGACATTGATCTCTTTTCAAACCTGAACACCCTGGACTTCAGGGTAAAAATGTGTAGAATGATTTAAGAACTAGAGCCCTATTTATTTTACTGTGTGATATGTGGCTACTGGCAGAGTATAAATGACTAGTTGTCAAAGATGTCGCTTAGCAGTTAGGAACTTAACTCCAGAATTACAATCTCCACAGGTCTGAGCCCAGGGTAACCTTGGGCCAAACACCTACAGTTTTAGCAAAGATTTCCAACCCAATGGCATTTTCAAAACCTAAGAGAGCTTTGGTAACTTGTATGATGATTTCAAGGAAGAAGGAATAGAAAACAGACATAAGCAACCAACCTTCAGAGCCCTAGAATTGCGTTAAGTTGGAAGTGAACGGCATCGCATATGAGAAACCTCACGATTTGTGCTACCGTTCTTGAAAGACTAAATTCTTGCTTATTTTTACAATTTTATCTGGGGACATCATAATACTAAGTTTAGAACTATTCCTCTATTAAAGTAGAAATAAAATATGTTTGCTTTAAAAATGTTAGTTAATGGGCCCCTATGTAGATTATAAAGGTTAGAAATGTTTACACCCAAAGACTGCAACCAGGTAGAGTGTTTTCCCCCTGAAATAAGCACATAGGCTTGAAATTTAAATGTGTTTTTTACCAACACACAATAAAAGAAAATGAGTATCTCTAAAACATATGAAAAACATCACTGAAAATTTAAAATTAGAAAGAAGTAACTTCTCAAATCATAAAAATTAAATGGGTGCAAACCTTCCATTCTGTTTTCACTTTGAGGAGTCCTGAGCTGTTAAACGCTTTGCTTCTCTAGATTTTACTTCCCAAACTCTTCCCACATTAGCATTTCTGGAGCTTGTCTTCCTTGCCTTCTTTTTCCAGCCCTTTTTGAATTCGGTGCTTTTTCCTTTGCATCCAACATGGAGAACTACAACCTAGTTGTTTCAGTTGATCACTGTTAATTCTTTTATCCTGTTCTCCAGCTGCCTACATAATATTTTTAAGCCATAAAGGGGAAACGTGCCTCACCCAGAAACATCCATTCACTTTGAAGTAGGAGGGACAGGGGCCAACTCCTCCAGGAAGCAAACTGGGGTCATCCTCCAAGACACATGCCTTCCACTCATCTGCCTCCACCGTTACCTCTGCGAACTATGACCTCCGCCACTTTTGAGGGATTGCTCAAGCCCCACTATTTACCTCCCTATGCATGGTCTTTTATAGACATTAAGAAAATATTTAAAACTATTTTCCAGATGCTCAAAATGTTATCCAGGACCGAGTGACATCATAATAAGGTCGTATGCTAACCCAGCAATGGCCCATTCTTCCCTCACCATCTATTTTCTCCTCAAATCATAATCAAACAGACAGCCTGAATTTAAACCTATGTGCAGAGTACTGGGTGCAAAGTAGATATTCAGTAAAGGCTTTTTCGACCTTGTCCAAATTCCTTATATTCACACCCACAGCCACTGTTATGCAGATTATCAGCAGATGACTACAAAACCCTGTGGAGTTAACTGAAAGGACATGTAGTAGCTATTAACCCAAATCATCACTGTAAATTTTGGTAGAATGTCATGTATGAACTTTTTTTTAATTTATCATTTCTGTGCTTTCCATCAAGTTCTAGCTCTCTTATAAAGTTCTTGAGGAAAAAGAGCTGCCTCCCCTTATAAAATCCTACTTAACCCTAGTACATTTCGCCCTTGATCCTGAAACTCCTCATTTGGCCAGAACTGGATGGGATCTATCCCTAAAACTACCTGCATTTAGAACAGGTAGATTAATGTACTCCTGCAGAGCCTGTGATCTGAATACATTTCTAGGTCTCCATAATTAAAGCAGCAGTTTGCGTTTGGGTATGGCCAAGGGGAAGGGGGAAGCAGGGAGAAAAAAGAAGCATCTTCCATCATTGTTGGTTTGTTGCACACTTTACCCAAGCTTTTCAAATATAAGTGAAATCTAATCTTCAAAATGAAAAAATAGACACATTTTCTAATAGCAAAATATAAGATTAAAGTACTTAAAAATAAAATGTTAGTGAGAAATAGGGGTTTTTTTACATTTAAAAAAATGAAACATTTTAGATTTGTTCTTCTTGTATAAATCCTCTTATTTCAGTAATAGTTACAACTGTCCAGAGCAGCTTTCATGAGACACTGAAGGAGACAGGAAGGAAATCCTTTTTCAAGATATGAAGTTGGGACCTGAATGCATACATTGGACAGAGCTGCCCTCCACTCAACTTGGCTGGCCAGCCCTAGAGAAAGGAGCACTGTGTTTCCAACCTTGAGATTTTTCATTTTCCTCTCTTGGGTGTTAGATTCTTTCTAAGAATATTCTACTTGTAAAAATGATTTTATTCTAGCTTTAAAACATTTCAGTTAAGGAAACCACATTTTATAGCCTTCTGTGACATGCCCCCAAAAGTCATCAAGATATGGAGACATCAGATTCTCAAAACAGAAATCTAATCATATGCCCTTGAAACAGTATGAACGTTTAACAGAGTGACATTATATTCTGATATTTGCTGGTCGTGAGATGAAAGACCGGGAGGCATCTGATGATTAATAATAGTTCCTGAGCTTCTAAAGAAATTTTACGACGAAATGACTAAATGCTTAAAAGAGTGAATTCTTCAAGAGCACCCCTTCTGTTCATTGATGTCTTTCATCCCATCAGTCTCCTCAAAGAATCTCAGGCCGAAAGAAAAGCCTTCCTTTTAAGCCACCGAAAAATGGGATCTGATGGAATCTTCCCGCAACTCCCGATGTTTTCCAGCGTTACTTTCTTCTTGCTGGTTTCGCCTCTCAATGGTTATTCTGTATTTCTTCCTGGGTAAAGGGAAAGTGAATGTAGTAATAAAACCTCACTTGGCTACAAAATACTATGGTTTCTCTTACAAAGAATGCCCTCAGGGGACATCTGGGTTTGGGTTGATAAATGAGAAGTGACAGAATATGAAACCCTGGTCAGAGATTAAAGCAGTGCGCCCCAAGGCGCTGTGCCCTTATTCAAGGCGGGAGACTGGCCTGCTTTCCGAAATGCCATAGAACAAGCCTTCCCCTTCTTCCCCAGGCGCCTGCTGGGTCCAGTCTTCTCTATTCTGCCACAGAGGCCCTCCCGGCTCCCAGGATATGCCCCAGATAAGGATCAGATTATGTACACTGTGACCAAAGGAACAGGAATACAATTGTCCCCACAAAGAGTCACATACACCCAGAACTGCATTTCCATGCAGAAATGAAGAAATCGTGGTCTAATGACTTAAGAATAAGCCACAGCTCAACCACCAAAGATTACAAAGGAATCGACCGCCCTCGTGGTGCAAAACTGTCAGTATTTGGACACACACAAATATTACAACTTTACAAGCCTTGGGGCTTAACCACCGTGGTAACTAAGTGTGTGGGTTCTCCAAACACTGAGCACAGACCAGCCCGAGGGATGGCCTGCTGGAGCCGCCGCCTCTTCAGAAGGTGGGCCCAGCACCTATCCGGAGCTGGGGGAAGCCTGAGAACGGGGCAGTCTATTTCCCCTTCATCCAGATTCCCCCTCCACTTAGTGGGTGGTAGGAATCTGGGTCGGAATATTTGTCATCAAAGGAGAGCGGCAGCTCTGTGGCCCACAGGGGAACACAGTAGGAGCCCCCTTGCCTCTCCCTAGCATGCTAGCCCACTGACCTCCAGGAGTCCCACCAAAAGATGGCTTTGTTCTCTAAACACCAAGCTCTGGGGGTAAGAGCAAGATATGGGCAGGTCACAGAAGGATCATGCAAAGGTAAGTGACAAAGGCAATAATAAAATAGAGTGAGTTTTTAAACCCTATCATGAGGTCCTAACCTGAAAAAGTAGAAAGCCATTAGCAAACCGGCTCCTAGTAAGGCCCCCACAACAATTCCTGTCACCGCTGATTCTTCTAGGCCACCTGCTTGAGGAAAAAAAACATAATCAGAGTTCATTTTGAGAAACAGAAATGCCTCATCCTAACTTTTCATTCATTGGAAAATTTCACTCATTGGAAAGTGTTTCTCAGTTTCCCACTTGAGAGGCAAATTTTCCTTTCTTATTAAGAAAGACTTCTAGGGGATCCTGCATTTTTTCTAAGAAGCGTTTAAGAAAATACTAGACGAGCGAACACACTGCTACAGACAGTGAGCACAGTGGGAATACAGCTGGCACAAGAGGATTTGAGGAAACGTGGAAACTGAGGTTTTCAGATCTATCCACACTCGTCTGAGTTTATAGTCGGAGAGGGCGACTGGACCATGGAACTGACCCAGCACGCCTTCCCTTCACAGATGGGTGGCGACACTTCAAAGTGCTGGAAGGCTTGGTGAAAAATTTATTGAGTTAATGTTCTGTTTTCAGGTGTTCTCTCACCAAAGCTAGAGTTTCATGTCAAAGTGTCCTCTATAACTTGGTGAAAATGTGAGTAACAGTTCAAAACAACCAAGTTTGGTGGTGTCCCAGTCATTATATAAAAATGATAAAATAACTAGCTTGTCTGTAAAGAGTTCAGGCACAGCCTTCAGTGCATCACCTTATTTAATTCTCAAAACAGTCCTAAGAGTTGGGCGGTTTCCCTTCATTTTACACATGGGAAAACTGAGGCTTAAAGAAGTGTGGGAACACCCCTGAGGTCACAAAACCAGTAAGTAACAAGGGTGGGACTTCAAATCCAGGCCCAATAACTCCAGAGACTGTGTTCCTAACACATTTCTGCTTCACTCCTTCCCGTAATTGCTGCACACACACAAACTCCCCACAGATTGAAGGCTGGTCCCCAAAACAGTGTGCATATGTATATTAACAAAGTCACCAAGTAGCCTAAAAGACCAACATTAGCTGTCTTCTCTCACTAGCTTATAAAAAGGCCTTTCTAAAGCAATGATTTCCAACAATTTTCCTATTTGTAAGTTCCTTATAGGAACGTCCACTTGCTTCTGTATTTATGACAAGGCTGTTCAAAAATAACAGATTTAACATTCATTTGCCAGTTTGTAAATCTGTAGTTGTTTCAAGGGCATCATCTGTTTGGTTCTGAGGGATCAGAGGAAACTACAAGCTTTGAAAATCAGAATGAGACTTGCTATGAGAGACAAGTAAGTGGGTGACAACTAGTATTTGGTATTCTGATTTTCTCTAAAAGAGTAAACTCGAATACTAAACGTCCTTCCCTTGTCCACCTCTCATAGGAAGTCTCATTCTGATTTTCAAACTTTGCTCATAGTAAGAGACGTAAGATAGGGAGAAGCCTTTTACCAGTTTGGAAAAGGGTGGGGGAGAAGAAAGACCTAGAAGCTCCTAATGAAGGTGGGTCTCCAGTTTGTGCCTTGTTCCGGTGGATTGTGCCACATCAGAGAAAGAAATCTGAACTTTCAGAACGTGACCTCCTGGATAACACTTCTTTTAAACCTGCGTTACGCTGATACCACCGGCGGTGAAACACAGGGTGAATTACGTCTCTGAACTTACATGATTTGCAAGGAGAGCTGTTTGTGTGCTCCACCATCCTGGTTTCATCTATTCTCAGCTTTAAAGGTCCCCAAGGATATTTGACGTTGGGCCGCATTTCAAAACGACCTTCTTTCCCGAAGTAATCACCAATAACCTACACAAAGGCAAAGAGCAAGCGTTCACGCTCAGCGCCGAAGTTACGTTTCAAAAGAGGCACAGGGCCCACTCTGACCCCACGGGCGTGTTTCTGAGGACTGTGTGCATCAGGATTTACAGCTGCCCCTGGTGCTTTTAAGGTGAGCCTCACTTAGGGAGAACTGTGGCCCCTCGAGGCAAGAAAACTGGTTGGTTACACAGAAAACAATGATCTCGGCTGGAATTCCTGGCCTTCCCCTTGCTGATCGAGGCTGCTGCACCACCCCACCAGGCAGCAGCCCACAGGGCAGGCCCAAGTCCCTCTCCGGCTGAATGAGAGAAATCAGGGTCCGCCTGAGGCCGGGTGAGCCTTATTACAGGTACATGGCCTCACACCCCTCGGTGAGCCCCGCATAGCATTAGAGCATTAAAAAGAGGGACTTTCAGGAAGAAGCGCCCCGCTTCGCCCTCCTCTGGTGGGAAGGCTGTTCCCCATCCTGACAGCGGGGATCCCGTTCTCCTGGCCGATGAGTTTACCCTTTTTGCACCCACATTTCCAGGCAGAACTCTTTTTCAACTGGTTGCTCTGGTTCTTGAAAAATCTAGTATTTTATGCTCAGTTCAAGGTTCTCTTTCAGTTTCAGGTTTGAGTGACTGTTTCATCGGCTTCCAGAGCTCTGATCTGGCAGCACCCCCACCCAGGTTCTCCGGGTCTGCAGCTCTTTTGTCTGGGCACAGCATGCTCCCCAGCGACCTGAGCACCTCCTCCCCTCTCTCGTGACGGAGGCGCAGCAAGCTCTCCCGGGCTACTTCATGGCATAGTAAAAAGAATTCTCAATAATCACCGAAATACAACAATCACTGGCGTGTGCTGAGAACTGATCGAGTGCCTTACGCAATTTCACTCCTGAATGCCCACAGTGACTCTAGAACAGACCATCGCTGTCCATCTCTTACAGAAGGGGGCCTAGGATGTACATGAGGCCCAGGCCAGGCCGAGTAGCATATCTGACCTGAAACACTGCGTAGCTGTATAATCTTTATATGTATTTATCATTTAAAGTTTATATAGTACTTTTCTAGGTTTCATTTCAGCCGGTGCTCACAATAATCACGTGAGATCAAGGAAGATACTATGATTTCCATGTAACAGCCCAGGAAACTGAGGCAGAGAGCTCACACCCAGTGTCAGAGGATCATCCTTGCATCCAGGGCGCTCTTTTCTCTTCGCAGTGCCGCCCTGAAACTCCACCATCTTTAGAAATATTAACACATGTCCCGTTTGTAACCACCCACCAAAAAAAAATCCCATTTTAAGGCAGGAGATGAATACATAGTTTAAACTCTCTCATCTCTCACCGACGATCCTTCCTGCATCTTAGGACCGAGGTGGGATTGGTGGGCACCTGAAAGGCAGGATTTCCCCACTTGGGGGAAGCAGGGCCACTTCCTGAGGCCTGCCCTGATGCCCTCAACCAAAGTGAGCCTCCCTTGCAGGAAACTCCCAGGTTTGGGGCTCATTTTTATTTGGAGGCTGCCTTGGGGACAGCTCTTTGGACACCAGGGCAAACACATTCCTGGGAACCTTAACAGGCCGAAGGAGCAGCCGGGGCAGAGCTCGCTCCCCTACCTCCTGGGTGCCCGCCTCCGCGTCCGTCATGGCGATCACAGAGAAGTCCCCGTACCGGTCCCCGTTGGTGTCTATGGACACCTGCCCGGCAATACCTGCAGGATGACATGAGAAAAGCGCCAAGTGAGTTGCTTGAAATGCCGCCATCTGCCAACAAAAACGCGAAAATGAATTGATGGGATTTTTTAAAGCAACTCCTGCCACAGGGAATCTCATCAGACGCCGGGCGTTTGGGTTGGCATGCGGGAAGACATTGTAATTTCATCTGCGTCTGCATTCCTGAATTCTTAACATTTCTCCATTTAAAAATGAAAAGAAAAGGGAATAAATGACCTTCTTTGAGAAATATGTTTTTTTAAAAGAAGATTAAGGCTAATCCTGAGAGAAGCATGCCTCCCCCAGAGTTTTCTATTAATTGAAAACAAAAGCAAACTGCCAAGAGGCAGAAGGGGAGGAGTGGCTCCTTCCTAGGCCTGTCGTGGGTTCAAGTTGTCACCAGACAAATATTATAAAAGAAAACTCATTCCAGGCCCCAGGACTCGGCATGTGCCTGCCTCAGGGGCCACGGGAGCCAAGAGCTAAGGAAGAGCTAGTCTTGATCCCACTGTGTTCATTGGTGGTTTTTTGGTTTGGGGAGTTTTTCTCAGTTTTATCAAGATATAATTGACATACATCACTGTTTGAGTTTCAAGTGTACAGCGTAAAGTTCTGACTTACATATACTGTGAAATGATTACTGCCACAAGTTTAGTTAAGATCCATTCTCTCATAGAGATACCATAAATCATTTCTTGTTTGTCCAAGCGTTTTCTAGGTGATTACTAGGTGTTGACGATAATGCTGCCACGGGGGCAAAGATGAATTGGACACATTCTCCACTCAAGAGAAGGGCAGCCACGACTAGGGATTTAGCTTGTTGGGTGGTGGAATCCGAAGGTCTGCATTTGAATCCCGGCTTTCACATTTGCAAGCTCTGTGACCTTGAGCAAGGACTCTGCCCTCTGAGCCTCAGTCTCCAGGATTCTAGAAGAGTCATAGTAGATGAAACAGGCAAAGCCCTTTCAACACAGGTTTAAGAAAGTTGGTAGTTTTCCTCTGTTATCACTACTGTCCCTATGCCTGAAATCTGGGGAGGACATCGGAGAGTGCCCACATCACTCCGAGGAGGACTCAATGAAAACGCAGGTCCTTCGTAGGCATGCTGGTGAAGTCTATGATTTGGACAAGAAGCCACAGGGAGTGGGAGTATTTGAGGCAGAAAGGCTAACCTTGGTTGTATTTAAAAAGGCACAGAAGCTGGAAGGAAGCAGAGTGGCCATAAGGTTTTGAGGAAATGGCCTTTGTGAGTGGAAGGGAGCAGGGAGAAAGGCTGGAACAGAGTGGCCAGAGCATGGAGAGCCCTGAGTGCCCACACAAAAAGTCTTGAATTCGCTTTAGCTAGCAGTGGTGGCTCACCAGTAAAAGCAAATACGTATCATTAGTTGACATTAAATGTCTATATTATAATTTTCATTAATAATAGAGAGCATATATCAGCTACATTCTGCGTAACTAAGGCTATTTGTTTTCTTTCGTTTCAAACTGTGGTGGAGTTCAGTGTAATTCTTAATTGGTGTTTCCATTGATCTGGTTCTCTCCGGAAGTAAAATGAATGTCTGGGAAAAGGGATCCCAAGGGAAAGTTCCATCCTCAAGTGTGGTTTGGAGAGGGCAAGTATTTGGGTTTGCTGTCCTTGGGTTGTGGTTTGAAGATCCGCCGATTTTTCCAGACTTTGGTCTACTTTGCCAGAAAGAGAATGGAGCTACCATTCATCCGGATGTTTTGTCTTCTTGTCTTCTTAATATAGACTGGTTACAAAGGATACACCTACCTCAAGCTTGTTTATCCCTGACAACCTGCACAACTTTTAAGTAATGCCATTTTTCAAAAAATGTATTTATCTCCAAATGTCTTGGTAATCCAAAACCTTTTTCTTATTCTGTTCAGAGGGGTTTTGATGGTGTGTTCTGTAAGTGTTTTTGCAGAGTATTTTATAAGACAAGGTGGCCCTGGTAATCCAAGACCTCATTACACTTTAAGCTATTACAATTCTGCCAAGAAACAAGGTGAGAACCCTCAGGGTGGCCGATTAGCAAGTGAGACTTCACCTGAGAGTATTGCACAGAAGGTGCGATGGCCGGGCTGACAGCAGAATTTTCCTGTGCATAGGCAATGAGGCATTCCACCCTCATTTCTATTGCCTGGAGAGGAGCTCAAGTTCTGAGCCGCAGTCCTATTTACCTTGTCTCTCTGACCCCTCACACAGAGAGGAATTTAGCTTCGTCCCAGGCCATGGTTGAGAGTTGGTCATAGGTTTCTTGGTAATAAAATCTAAATTTGTCGAATAACATCCAGAGTATTTTTCCCTTGAGAACTTAATGGTCACTTACCGTGACCATTAAAATTAAAATTGTTTTTAATTTTAGAAAGGTTAAAGTTTTTCTTAGGGTTCTTTTGGGGGCTACCCTCCGCTTGACCTTTGTTTAGCAAGTAGAATGGAAACTTACCTTGGCTTCAATTGTCTTTACATTTGGACAAGTGAGATTCTAAGTCCAAACTGAACTACACAGTTGATTGTTTTAGAACTCGTTTCTTATTGCCTGTGTAGACCTGGCCCTGGAATGGAAGATCAAGGCAGCCCATGGGAAAAGTCAGTCCATGCCCTCTATATAAAACTGAATTGTGGGCACCTGCCCGTCCCTTAGCAACCTCCCTCAGAAGACCAAGAACAAATGACCACACCGCGCAGTGAGGAACAGCTAAGAACGGGATGTGGCCTACCGAGGCTGTGTCCACACACACACCAGTTTCTCAGTGCATTGGGCATAGCTTCTGGAAAATTTGACTCTGTCCTAATATGCCCCCTGAATTACCCTACTTGATTCCAGTTCCCCAGCTGAAGCAGTCAGAGGTTGAGCAAGACAACCCTCGAGGCTTATTTGTTCACCTCCTACAATCTGTCAAAAGTTAAGCAGATGTCACTCTAGTTTTGAGTAAGATGTGGCATCCGCAAAAATGACCAAGGAGAAATGAAATCTACCACTTGTCACCATAGCTATGGCCCAGACAATTCTTGATGGAACCTGACCCCTCTGTATTGCCTTACCCCATCTAGTAACTGAGAACTAGACGACACAGTGGAGGAGATAGGAGTCCCAATTGAAAAAATGTGTGTGTGCGCACCTCAAATCTAGACTTGGCAGTATTTGTTCCCATAATTGAAAATTTCATTAGTTAGATTGTAAATAAATATAGTCATAGTCCCAATGCATTAAAGGATTCAAAGGAAGAGTTAGCATGATGCAGAACTGAAAGGACCCTTGTCAGTCATCAACTAGTCTAACCCCCAAACTATAGATGATGGGAGGAGTCCAAAGGACTGAGGTAGAGTCAGTGGCTAGGATGCAGGTTTCCTGGTCCAACAATCTGTACCCTATGTCAGTGGTTCTCACATGATATCCATTAGCATATTATAGTTTATTTTCCACATAGCCCCATGAGGACCCTTTTTAAAGACTCAAGACAGATCATATCCCTCAAAACCCTCTGGTGGCTTTTTCTCTCACTCAGGGTAGAGCCCAAAGTCCTTGGCGCAGCTTCCAGGTCCACGTGATCTAGCCCCCACTACGTCTCTGGCTATGGCTCCTGTCACACTGCCTCTCCTGTGCTCTGCTTCAGTCTGTCCCGGGGCACGCAGGACTCTCACACCAGATACACTCAAGGCCTCTGCATATGCTGCTCCCTCTGGACTGTTCTCTCCCGAATATAATTTCTTTCACTTCCTTCAGGTCGCTACTCAACTGCCACTTATTTGAGAGATCTTCCCTGATCACTCTATTTAAATTAGCAGTCCCACCCCACACTTTCTATCTCCCTATCCTGCTTTATTTAATAGCCCCTAAAATGGTGTATTTGTTTACCACCAGTTCCCCCCACTATACCATGGAAGCTCATATTATTGCAGGAAATGTCTTTAGTTCACTGCTAAATCCTCAGCACCTTGAACGGTACCTGGCACCTAGTAGGTGCTCAAGAATATTTGATGCATGAATGAATGAATGAATGAATGAATGAATGAATGAATGAATATGAAGTTGATATCTGCAGGGTTCATGTTGAGTCTCATGTTAATTTTCTTTGAGTGTTGGTGAGGCCAGAGAAAACCAGAACTCTATACACTACTAGCAAGAGTATAGTCTAGTAGAGCATTCTGGAAGACACTTGGCAATATCTTAAAAGGCACCAACATACTTCTGGACCCAGATGCCCCACAACTAAGAATGTCCCCTCTTGGATGTACTCACAAAAACTCATCAAGACGTGTAAGATGCATAATAGCAAAAACTATAAATAACTGAGGTGTCCATCAGTAAGAGATTGATTAAAGAAATTCTTGTACAGCCACACGGTGTAAAACTGTGGAACTACCATTGAAAAATGTGCTGAATCTACGAGTGCTCATATGGAAAATTCTTGGCACACAAGTAAAAAAGCTATGATGAAGAATGGCATTCATGGTATGACTCTTTTGTAAAAATGTTTTAGATAAGATATAATTCGAATGCATATGTGCTGGCAGAAGACACAAAATATTTTTAGACTGAATCATGGGGAATTGTTGATAGAGATCACACTGGGGAGAGGGGACTGGGGCGGGGGGGAAAGCTTTCACTTTTCATTTTGTACATACTTGTACTGTTTAAGTTTTCCAGCCAAGAACAGTCTCATTCTTGCACAATTTTCAAATGTCAGCAGAGGTTGCTTGAGTGATGCGATGATGGGCCATTTTCTGGTTGTTGTTCTTATACTTACATCTCCATTCTCAAGAAAGCCACAGCTAATATTCATCATTTTTAAAATAAAATGAAAGCGTAAGGCTCACTGGACCTGCTCACCATCTTCAACCACTCAGGTTTGAACAGGGAAATGTGTATCTGGGATTTTTCCTTTTAAAACTGACTACAGAGCTCTTCAGAAACTGATCATTTGTTGTGAACAAGGCTTGTGATGAATTTAATTTTAAAAAACATGAAACTGTTACCCAACAATCAGGAGATAAGCCACTTCCCATGTCAGTGGGACCCTTTGAAAGCACTTGCACACGCTTTGTCTTGTTGAATTTCCACAGCAAGCGTGTGGGATGGGTTGATCCTGACTTTTATCCCTACTTTACAGCTGAGGAAAACAAGGCCCCACCGTTGTAAGAGAAAACCAGAACCAGCGAAGAAGCGGCTCAGTGAGCTACGAGGTGTCGCCACCTGATAGACGGAATCCTCACCTTCAAATGTTCTGTTCCAAGTCTGCTGGATGATTTTCCCTCCATCCTTCTTACTGTACCCAGCTCTGAGCACTTCGTGTAAAGCCAGGACGTAGAGCAGAATGGCATCATGGAAGCCTTCAACAAACATGTTCACCTGGAAAGGAGACCCAGCTGGGTGAGACCAAACACCAAACGGCTCGAGCTGAGGATGATGTAAGCGAACCAGAATGATTAGCAAGTTAGACTCCAGGCCCGTAAGCATGGCAGAGGCAGGCAGAAGAGTAGCTAAGAGGAATCATGGCATGATTTTCCTGGCACTGGCCTCGTGAGGAAAACTCTTGCCCAATTTGGGAATTTGGAAAGCAGACAAGATATTACAGAAGTAAAAAAAAAAGATACCTGTTGACTAGATTAGGTATTCCAGGTGTGTCAGCCTTTGCCCATAGCCCCCTCTACACAGGTGCCCCCCCTTCCCTCTCCCCCTCCACATCCCCGTCTACCTCAGGCCAACTTGAGTCCAACCTCCCCTTTGAGGTTTTCCCCCTCTCAGATCTCTCCAAGCTCTGAGAGTGAAATGTGGCTAAAAGAACAGTAGGGATCCATTCATTCATTCATATCCAAATACTATCGAATGCCTACTACAATGCTAAGGATGCTAAGAGGAGTGGGCACTGCCACCCCCGCTTGCCCAGCATGTTTGTTCTCTATTCTATCAGAAATAATATCTCAGTTTCTCTTTCTAACTTGTGTTCTGAGTAGTTTCAGAGCATTTGAGCACTCCCTAGCTCCACTCCCTGCCAAGCTCTGAGGACAGAAGTGGAAACAGGCCTGGACCATTGGTTTATCCCAGTTGAGTCCTGGCTCAAGTTAGGTAGCCCTTGCCCTCAAGAAAGTTACAGCTCCATGCGAACTTGGGGAATCTCTTAAATCTTAAATCTCTCCACTTAAATCTCTTTAAGCCTTATTTCCTTCTCTAAGCACCATTTGGTAAGTTCTAATGCCACACTTAAACCCACTGTACATTCACTGAACATGATATGAGCAAATACAATCCTGAAACACTGAGTAGCTTACAAAGTCTGTACAAAAGTACCAAAAAAAAAGAAAAGAAAGAAAGAAAGAAATGGAGCCTTCTTATTTCAGGAGGAAGCATCAAGAATGTAACACCATACAGCAGAATGAATTGGGCATCCCAAGGACGACCATGGTGAGGCTTTGTGAGTGCTGATCCCTGTCTCAGCCCTGGTTCAAATACAAAGACATCCACAGAAGACACAGCTCAACATCCAGTTCCACTTGGCCTCAAACCACCCCAAAAGCCGGTAAGTCCTGTTTGTGTCCCAGAAGCAAATAGTTCAGATTTACCGAAGTCTACTGCTGAGAGGCAGATTAGAACAATGGTTAGAGAGCCTGGGCTCACTACCCAGCTCTGCCACTCCCTAGCTGTGTGTCTGCACCACTCTGGGTCTCAGTTTCCCCCATCTGGAAAATGAGGGAAGTAGTAATACCTATCTTAGGAGGGTGCTGTTTGGTTTAAACAAATCAATAGATGTAAAAGAGGCCTGACAGAGTCAGTCCTCACTGCTAGTTTTTGTTGTTGTGATTGTCTAGAGATAGAGAATTATAAACCTAGGGATCCTGGTCAGTGTCTAATTTCTAGTAGCAGTACTGGCACAATATATCTTACTGACCCACTTTTCAGTTAATGGGAACTGAGACTCCTTGTTCGTGCTTTGACACCCAAGTAGTTCTACTTCCACAACGTCTGGCCCTTAATTGCACCCAAGTATGGTGGGTGCAGCCCAAGCTGGTCAGTGCACTGGCTCTCGGGATGGGTGGGAGACGGAAGAGAGCTGGTTCACAGGAGAGCTCTGAGCCAGCCGCTGGACCCAGAATCTCATCCCGGTCCTGACCCATTACTTAATCTCTGTGATCTTCAGTTTCCTCATCGGTTTAATGGAAGTTTAGTACCTACTCATCTCAAAGAGCTCCTCTGGGATTAAATGAAAGAGTGCATGTAAAACATCTAAAACAATTTCTGGGACCAAACAATTTCTGGAAAGCAAAAAGCAGACAATGGCTCTTGCTCTTAGCAATCAAGCTTAAGTCTCAGAACCATTATTTTCTTAGGCAAAGCACAATGTGTAGAAATAACATCTACTGGTCAAAGAGAATTTTCTGCTGCTTCGGCTATGCTAATTCATTTTCCAAAGGAACGCGAAATTTTCACTTAGACCATGAAGTCATCATGGCTTGAGAAAGTATGCGTGCTGGTGAGTTGATGAGTTTTAATAAGTGAACGTTAGCTATGTAACTCAATTCTCAGGCCACTAAAAATTTTTTTTCAAAAGCTCTTTCTTCTCTTTGATAATCGAATAAACACCACCCTGCTCTCAGAATCACAGAATCGTAGAATACGGAAGACAGAAGGGGCTTCAGAAAAGCTCTCATCTAACCCTCTCCTTGCTCTGGAGACCAAGCGAGGATCGCTCACCCTCGATCCCCCTGCGCTCTGTTCTGAGGGCTGTTCCCTTCATCGTCCCTGTTCCTGGGGGCCTAGGACAGCCTCTGCTTCACCTGCAAAGTACCAGCTACTGGGCATCACCTGTCTGCCTCTCTTCTTCCTCCTCTTGACTCTTCAAAATCCTAACCCAAGGCCACCATGCTGCTTCTGGCCACCTGAAGCACTGGACGTGTCCCCAGCACCGCCCCTTCCTTGTTGATACGCCCTCTGAGCTGCCCCCTCTGCCACCCAGGATGGGAAGAACAATGACCTGGCTGAGAAACAGGGACTTGGATTCCTTTTGTGCTACCAGGTTTAACTGTAGAAGAGAACAGATTGGCTCTGAACACATGCCCAGGTCTGAAAACCCATCCCACTTTGATTTGCAAATGGATTGCACTTTATTTCCTTTCCTTTTAAAGTAGCTGAGTGTCTCCCTCTCCTGCCAAAATTAGCAAGAGAGCTGCTGACCCCACAGAGGTTTGCTGGCACCCAGGCCTGCTGCGGAGGTGGTTTCATAACACCTACCTCATAGGGCCTTGGGCCAGAGCAAAACCCTAGAGACGCCCCTTTCTCAAGGAGAACATTCTCACATCCACACGTGTTTTTAAATGGGAGGAAAGCCCGTTCGCACATTATAGACACTGCAAATTGGAAGTGCAAATTTAAAAAAATAAGGGAGAGAGAAAGCCAGAGTATTAAGCTGCCTCTGGAACACTCTCCACTGGACTTTCAGGCTGAAAGGAGCTAGGTCACCTGGTCTGTCCCCCGCCTGTCAGGACAACACCTGGACCTCGAAGTCCTGACGGGCACATTATACTATTGTTACTGATGGCAGGAATTAGCATTCCCTCCTCTGACCGACCCCTTCTAGTGTTTAGCACCATTTTCAGCCAGAAAGCTCTTCCTTACTGTCATTAGCCATAAGTCCACTAAATTCCCAAATGCAGCCATTCCCCTGCTAGATGCTGACCAAGCAGAGTTAAGACAATACAATCCATGAGCCCTGGGGATTCACAGTCTCAACCAAACAGTGTCCCAGCTCCACAAGGGCCATAGATGGCGTCTGCACAGGCTGTTGGGAAGCAGACCATGAGGGACAAGCCCCAGGGTGGTCACTGTGCTGTGTGTCATTCAAACAAGGTGGAAGTCCCGCACCATCTTCCACTTGTCCCAGGAACTTTGCCAGAACAAGGCAGCACGCCGGCATTAGCCCCCCCATGGTTTCATCTCTGTTCCCGTGACTCTCCCTCTGGAGCTGGCCAGAGGCAGGGATGCCAAATGGAAGGAGGCCATTTTTGCCTTCGGCTTTCTCTCTGATTGCACTTGTCAGCCACGTCTATTTATTAGTTGTTGCTTTTTCATCTACCATGGGGAAAGCTAAATGGAAATCTTGCTATTTTTTAACTGAGTGTAGAGAGTGGCCATGCATGACGTGGCTCCTACCTGCGACAGGAGTGCAGTCTTTCTCATCTCTCTTTGGGGAGGGACATTCAGGGAGAATTCCTCAAGGCTTGTGCTCCAAACAAGTAAGCGAAGACTGTTGCGTCTCTCAGCTGCTCCGTGCATCTGCCTCCCACGCCCTGTGGGTATCCGAGAGCCTATAAAGCTCTCAGAGTCCTGGGAGAAAGCTGCCGCAGCTAAATGCAAGGCCGGGCTGCCCAGGGTCTTGCCTGTGCTGTTCAGTGAAGTCAAGCATATCACACGGAGTCTCTGCTTCCTTCCCACAAACCAATGGTCCCAATGCAGATAAGGAAAGCGGAGAGTGTTGGGCAACATATCTCAAGAGTCTTTTGAAAGACATGGCCTTTAACCTCCCGTTCAGTTCCAGAGAAGATGGGGGAAGGGCAATTTTGATGGCAGGAAGGTGAGAGGAGAGATGGGCTCGGGACCTGCCTTTCCCCATCGCAGCAGGAGCAATGGCACCGGCATCTTGCCTAATCTGTAGTAAGACCCTGAAAATGGACCTTGTCCTCCCCTCCTAAGCCACTGGAGATGGTGACCGGCGAAGAACATGTCCTGGGCATGCAGCAGAGGTAGGCCAAAAATTAAAGAATATTATGCATTTGGTGAACACTGCATGTGACCTCCATACAATAAAAACATAGATACTATCTGCTTTCATTCAATTTTCTTCTGAATCATAAAAATCTACAATTTAAAATCTACAGTTAAAAATCTACAATTTAGAGAAACAGCAGGAACTCCATAAATCAAGTGATATCACAAAGGGGGTTCTTACTCTTACTGACAGACACCTTAATGTGTGTTCTTCTATACAGGGCCTGGCTGCATGGAACTGACGCCTGGTCACTTGCTGACTTCTTTTAGCCTTGAAGAGAGTGAAATTTAAAATCATCCCTATCCTGGTTGACTTCTGAGGCCACGCAAAGGGCAAGGGTCTTACTAACAGTCAGGCAGCTGGTCAGGGAGAAAGCAGGGTCCAGCTCTGTGCTTGAGCGAAGCACCTCCATACCCCCCACCCTGAAGTTTTGGCTCACGTGGCTTTAGAGCTCGGAGCTGATACTGAGGATGTACCATGAGGAGGTAAGTCCTGGGGAGAACACCACAGAGACGGGAGTGCCCAAGGCTGTCCTTAAACCTCTGCTGTCCTTGGTTAATTCCTAAATTGCACACACACAGGGTGGGTA